ATGCAGCTTGAGCTACATCAATTGCAAAGCTGAAGTCGAAATAGTTTAATTCGGCTTTTGGCATTATACACATAGCAGGAAGTCAAAGGAAGACTTCGACTTCCCTTATTCCTCGTAAAATGAGGGTTACAGGAGTTGGAGTAAGAAGTCCTCCAGCTTGACAGTATTTCAACATTATTTGGAAATAACTGCCTGCTATGTAGTTGCCAACTAAGTTGTTTTGAAATAACAGTAGTTATTTCAAAATAATGTTGCTGTGTAGACGTCCCCTTAAGAGATTAAGCAAGCTTTTAAGTGAAAAAAGAGGTGATTAGTGTCTTAAAATTCTTCTCCCTAGGGGGTCCGTCTACATAACATTATTTTGAAATAAATAACGTTATTTCAAAATAACTTAGCCCACGTCTACACAGCAGGGTATAATAACATTAAAATACTGTGGAGCTGGAGGACTTCTCACTCCAACTCCTATAACCGTCATTGTACAAGGAGTAAGGGAAATTGGGGGAAGAGTGCTCTATTTTGCAATAAGTGTAAACGCTCCCAATTTCTAAATAAGCTACACAACAATTGAAGTAGCTCAATTTGCATAGCTTATTTTGAGTTAAACCCTGCTGTGTAGACACACCTTAAGAGACCTAAGAAAAACAGAAGGAGCAATTAACAGGCACACACTGTTAAGTAACGCAGAGTACAGATGGAGCTGTTAATATAGTTCCTTGATCTGCACCCTCTCTAGGGTTGGTTCTGCAGTTCTTACTCAGACTAACAGAGTGACTCCCATGCCCTGAATAAGGGCCGCAGGATCTAATCTCAAGAGACATACTTAAGTTAGAATGACAGGCCTAAAATGACACCCTCCCAGCTTTGCTTTTGTTTGGGAGCATAAGAGCACATGTCATGCTGACCTGTGTCGGCTCCATTCTTCCCAGTAGGCAAGGCAATGAAATGTGCAAGAATCCTGCCTTTGGACTTTGCTAGCAGTGTGTGCAATTCTTTGTACATTTCAATATCCTCCCTACTTAATTTAAGCAGCTGGTAGTGTTGAGGGTCGGCATGCAGAGCACAAGGGTGCTTATGTCATGCCAGTGTACACATACCTGCCTATACATACAAACAAAATCAGTTCTTTAGATTTGCCTTTGGCAGGTGGCCCAGGGGATAATTACCATTTTATCTAGTTGCAAGGCAATTGGGGAAGCTCATCCACATTTTCTCAAGGTGCTGTTAGATGTTTTAAATGTGATTTTTTTGTAAAGACTGGTTTAAGTTATTAAAGGGGTACTTAGAGTTAATTCTTTACATCTACCCTATTTTAAACTTGGGTAAATTCATTTAAACTGTGCCAGAATGACTTGCTGGACAGTTATGGCAAACAAAGTTGGATTCAGAAGCCCCATAAACAGTAAATATAATAAATCAACATTAGGAAATACAAAGGCATTGGTCCAGATTTCCACAGAAGCAGCAGAATAAAGCTTTGTCATCGAAATTTTAAACACAATAGGAACCTCTTCTTAATATAAGTGTGTAACTCCAGAGACAATAACCAATAAAAAATTCTACACGGTTCTGGAGCACGATGGAAACTGATTAATAGTCACAAGTGCTCACTAGTTCAGAAACTATGAAAGACATACACTCACCCCCATAAAACTGAAGCCAGCTACAAGGCTCATTCATTTGGAGAGGAAGACTTCCTCAGTTTAGGTTAATGTTCGTGCAGTTCTTAAAGTGCTCTCCCTCCTAGGAACCATTATCTTCTTTGTCGGTTACTAAAATGTATAAAACCATATGCCTACAGGTCTACGTTTCTTACAGTCAGCGCTCTGAAAAAAAAGGAAAAAACGATCTGGAAAGCAGCACAGTGGAGGAGAAACGCCCAGCGTTGTCCCAAGATTTCTAAATCGCCCCCTTCAATTGAGCTCAGTCTGCACGTGTTACCCTTCCTACTCTTTCAATTTTCTTGAAAGGCCCTCAGACTCTCACACCTTTTTGCCTGCTTCCTTAAATCAACCCATGATAGAAAAGGATTTTTTAAATCGCTGTGACCTGCAAGCTGTATTTTTCTGTGGGTGCTCGCCCCTGTTGTGCCGACCGATGCTACGGTTTTTAGTCACTCTGCGACTAATAGCATGAAAAGGATGTCCCCGTAGGGCAACGAAGCATGAAATCCCGCAGTTTGCTTTACACTGTAACAATATCCCCATGAAAGGCTAGCACAGAACATGTCACTAACTATAATTACACATGTTGGGAGTGTCAGTTAAACATTAGCTGGTTTCTCTTTCAGGGTATTCCCTCCTCCCGCAAAGTCAAAGCTACTTTTGTACTTGAAGCAATGACTGGGAAGGAGAGGAGGAAATAGCTGAAGGGGGAAATTAGGCGTTTGTAGAATCATATATGATCGCGCAGTCTAAGCAAACTTGGATAGTTATTTAGCTTGGGTAAAACCTGCACAAGCAGGCTCCAGTTAAGTAATTATTATAGTATGCACTTTCTAATGGAAATTCTCCGATGTCCTCTGATCTATTCCCATGTCTTTAAAAACATCTGACAAGTATGATTTACTTCAATGTTTCTTTCTTTCGTTGGATATAGTCTCCACACGCTCCGGATTTTAAAATAAAATGAAAGCCAAAAAAATAAACAAAAACCCACTAAAGAGAGTTTTCTTTAAAAAAATGCAGTGATATGTTTTGATTTAAAGATTCACAAACATTCAGTATAGCTTCCCTTTAGAATGACTGATAAGCGCATATGTGCCGGAACTCTATATTCCAGGGAGAAAAACGCTTTAATGTTTTTAATTAGAAAAAGTTTATTGTTACATGTTTTTTTTATTGAAAAAAGAACTTTGGGGTAAGATAACATTTCACAGCGACTCTGCCTGCTTCTTCCTTCGTAGTCGTTCTTTTAAGACGCTTGGAGAGGTGCAAGAAATGGCTACATTTTCTAAAGTACTACTGGGAAAAGAAAAGAAAAGAAAAGAAAAGAAAAGAAAAGAAAAGAAAAGAAAAGAAAAGAAAAGAAAAGAAAAGAGACTTCAATTTGTATATTCCAAGGGATAATTTAGCCTGTTATCCTTGTGCTGTCAAACAAATATACAGAGGTAAACACAAACATAAAAGCTATATAGCGCTTTTGCCCTTCGTCAATATGTCATTTTAACATCTGTATACAGAAGCTAGCGAATAGCGAGTGTTTGCTTAACTAGTCGCCAGTTAATTCTTTTAGCCTGATCGGGACAATGTCTCCAGCCTTCTTAGAAAGCAAGATCGAAGCTCAGCAAATCCTGGAGTAGTCCCTTATCCGCGGTTTCCCATCTTATCACACAATGCCGCCAAGGACCGGTGCGCTTAAAACCTACCCCGCTCTCTTGGGAGCTCTGAGCAGACGAAAGCCTAGTGCTAGTGGGGAGTTGTTACAATGCAGCAGGGCTCGCCCCCCAGCCAGCCCTATCGCCACACGCTGAGCCCCACTGCCCACCCCGGCCGGCGGCCCTGTCACTGTGTAATGGGCGCAGGTTACATTTCGAAGGCTAGAAGAAGAAGCTTCAGATTTCCGTCCGTACGGGGAACCGGGGGGAGGATGAGGCTGCCTGGGACCGCTTCACTTTCCAGCTGAGCGCGCTGAGCGCCGCCCGCTTCTGTCCCCTCGCTGCATCCCCCATCACTTCCATCTGCTCCTTTCGGCTTCCCACTTCTCACCCCGCCCCATCTCTTCTCTCTCCCCCCCTTCCCTCCCTTCCGCCCCTTCTGCCTCTCCTCTTCGTTTGCCAAAATGGGCATGAGGCTTTGGTTTTGAGCAGTTTCTTTTCTTAAGCTGCGAGTATCCAACCCTAAACCGCCAGCTCTCTGCTGTCAGCTGCAAAGCTGACACCAAAGCGTTCCACTGGCAGCGCTCCGATTCCCCGCATGCGGAGGGGCTCCAGGTTTGGGCCCGATCTCCCTCCTGGAGAGAGAGAGAGAGTGGAAACCGTGACTGAAGAACGCTGATCTCAAGAGAAACAAGCGGGAGTGGAGAGGGAGAGAGGAACAGTCACCAACATTTTTTGTATGGAAAACAGATTCGTCCCCCTCCCTCCCGTATATTTATAAGAAATCTATTCCGCCGCGTGCCGGGTATTGGCAAACCCCGTCTGTTGTAAATCCAAGTCCTTTTCAACACTTCTCTTTTCCACCTCTGCCTCCTAGTCCCTTAAAACGTCAGGCACCCGCCAAACACGTTGGTCAAGAAGCAATTCCTAGCAGTCTAAACTCACCGCCACCGCTTCCAGGAAGGGAAGGACAAGAGTGGCCCAGCCCAGAGTGAAGACTCCCCAGAGATAATCCCCAACAGCGGGATCCGGCTCCCCACAACATATTCCTCAGCCCGCAGCAGCCCAAGAGCAGCAGAGTCACACGGGGTCAGGAAGGAGCCATACGCGCTTTTCTAACCCGCCCGCCCCACTCCCTGCAACACAGCTCCACCGGGGAGAAGCGAGGGGGTGCGCTAATCCAGCATCACGTGCCGTGGAGGGAGACGGAGCAAGACCCGCATCGCAATGGAAAACCGACGGGGGAGGGGGGACAAATCCCCTTTCTGCCGCGCAGAGGGCTGTGCCCGTGACCAGGAGCGCAGCCCGGCCTCACCCGTGTCCCAGGGCGCTGCAGGGAGGGGGCTAGGCCAGGCGGGCAGCACACCTGGCTGGCAAGAGCGAGCCACGCTCGGCTCCCCGCAGCGC